ACTGCAGCACCCAAAGGCTCTGGGAAAAACCCTGTGGGCAGCACTGGGGTACTGATGTTGTACGTGAATTTTCAGCCGTGGTGAGGCCGGGGAAGGCAAGGGGTTAAGTGGGTTTCTTCCACACAGTAACACACATAAATCTCTTTGCAGGCCAGTTACTCTACTGCTCCCTCAGGAATTAAAATAAATAAATAAATACGCACACCCTTCTTTTGGAGAATTCCTCTCACTTCCCTCCCCACCCGCCCTGTGCCAGTGATATGGCAATTAGAGCCGTTCTCAGCTGCCATGGGATCCCTCTCAGCACACCTCCAGTGCCACAGAGCAGACAGCTGAGGAGCTGGCACAGCGGGCCACAACATGGGAAGCTCTGTCCAGCTGCCTGGGCCTCTGGAGACTGTAAAAAAAAGGATAGTCTCTGGTCACAGCACAGCAGAGCTGGGATGGGACGTCAAGCTCAGCTGCCAAGCACTCCTGTCCTCTCCCAGGCACTGTTGCTTCATGCACTCAGTGATGGGTAAAAAACCCATACTGCTTTTAATATGCCCTTGGCTCCAAGAGGTCAGAAAAAACCCTGAAAAGTCAAAATGGGAGAAGGGAGCTGCTCCCACCCCCAGCAGGCTGGGCTGGCACTGGGCTCGCTGTGTTACACCAGCCATTCACCTGAAAGCTTTGCCATTTTCAACTACCTATATTAATTCATATAAATCTCCCCCTTTGTCTGCTCAAACTGGGTTTAAAAAGCACCCTTAAAAAGACTGCTGCAGGGATAGTGACTTGTACATGACATTAGAGATGATGGAGGGAGGGGAATTCTCAGCAGAGAAACAGAGAGAAACACAAACCACCAACTCTCGGTTATTAATCCCTTAAATAATTCTGACAATGCTCCCCACCCTCCTGTCTGAAACCAAGCAGAAAACAGAGTTTTCTGATGCTCTGGCAAGAGGGTGGGGTGTGGGGAGGTGTGTCAGAGAGGGACAGGAGGATGTAGCAGTGGCTCTACCACTCTGTCCCCATGGCTGGTGACAGAGAATCTCACTTCTGAGATTCACCAGCCATGGTGCTGGTGACGAATCAGGGGACAAATCTGCAACAGCATCCAGTGAGGACAGCCTGGATCCCCCCAGGGCTTTCCAAGAGTGATCCACACCAGCTCACTGGCAGGAGGAAGGGGACACCTTTACACTAAAAAATACTCTGAATATATGGAGTAATTACTCTGAATTTATCAAGGGCACCATCACTTTAACTCTGATTTAACTCCCACCTACAAGGCAGCTCTTGGCACAGCTGCTGGAGCGTGCCAGGTTCAAGGCCACCCTCCCCACCACCCACATCTCCTACCAGGCAGTTCAGACACACAAGATAAGCCACGAACGAGCCCTGCACCAGCCACCCACGAGTCACACGCCAGCAAACCTCAGAGGGCTCAGCTGAGAGGGAGGATTGATCCAGATGCCCCTCCTGTGCTCTGCTCAAGCTCCGAGGTGGGAGCAGCTCTGCCCAGGCTCTGGACCAGAACCAGAATGGAAAACACTACTTTAACCTCAGCATCTCCTCATCTTCCAGCTAACCAGTGAGCCACTTCCCTTTTTCATTTTTAGAACAGCAGCACTTCATACCCAGAGTCAGGGGAGGGAAGACTTCTATCTTGCCAAAAAAAAAAAAAAAAAAAAAAAAAAGCCTTTTTCAAACACTACAAGAACTTCAACAGGAATTCAGGACAATTAAATCCATGTCAGGAGAGAGCAGAGAGGAGCGGGAGGCTAATAAATGACACGCTCCACAGGTTTATGAATATTTGAACTATATTTCTTAAAAAAAAAAATAGTACATTACTGCAAGTTATTTAAAATGAGTAACTCCCTTTAATGAACCTTGGTACCATCATGCTGACTAATAGAGTAATAAAGAGTTTAATCCATATTTATGTACATTTTATGTCATCACAGTTGGTGCCAATAAATTAGCAAGTCCAATAAGAGTTTGATTTTATACCATCACTGCTATTAAATGTGCAACAACACACCGTACACGAGCACTAGCTTTTCATTTTATTTCATTTCTTTTTTCAGGAGATAGGCTGTGCTAGCAGAGACTGGGTACAGCAACCCTGCAGGGGATCCCAGTGCTTGTTCCTGCAAGATCAGACCCTATTTAGGGGTGAGGCAATAAAAACAGGGAGTTTATTCCTCAGAGCACTGCACACTGTGCTGCTTCTGCAGCCTGCAGCAGGGACACAGCTGTGGAGAAACACTTCTGCAAGTGCCACTGGTGATTATGGAGAGCTCTGAGCCACTTTAAAGTGATCAAATTAAAAGAAATAAATAAATTAAGAGTCAACTGGTAGAAAACTATATAACTCTATTCTTTTGAGGTGTTTTAAAGGGGCACAGATAGAAACACAAGCATCAGCACCTCAGGTCGCTTTCGGAAACCTCTGTCATGAAACACAGCATGGCCCTTGTCACACCAGGATTGCTTAATTCACTGGACATTGAGAAAAAAAAGGGCTGTGAGCAATTTAAACTGGCCTTTTGACCCCCCCGGGTAACTGGGAAACACTGCAGATGAGATTACATGGAACATGACGTGTGTTTTTGGAAAAAGCCTGCGCGCTCCAGTTACCCAACGTCCCACCAGGGCAGAGATGGAGCTCTTCAGCTCCACGGGGATTTTGGCTGGACAAGCCCACATGGTCCACCATCCCATTTCACCAGCTGTTATCCTGGTGACAGTTAAGGAATAACTTCCCAGGCTTACAACTCAAGGAAGCAGCAAAACCAGAGATAAATCCTCACGCTCCTGGACTCGAGCAGCCCCCAAAAACACTTGCTCTCCCCATCAATCCTATGGCAGCTCCTCCTTGCTGAAGCCCCACCTCAGAAGCCAAATGGAGTGATGGCTTACTCAGAATACTCAGATCACTCAGAATAACAGCTGGTCAAGGCAAGACTGAGGGATCTGATTTTTCTTCCTCTTCCAAAGCACCAGTGGTTTTCTTACACCAAGAAACCCCCAAGATTCCAAAGGACAAGCCCTTTATGTAAGAGGTTGGCACCACAGAAACACAAGTCCCCGCCCTCCTACTCAGTAATTACACTGCACCAAACCCAAAAACTGCTAGTAATTGCTGTCCCACTGCCCCTTGGGTTTGGAGGAGGGAAAATAACTATTTCAGTGGCATCCAGAAAGGAAACACCCAACACCACTCCAACCAAGGCTTCTCTGCAATTAAACGCTCCACTGTTACTGGGCTCTGCTCAGAAACGTCTCCTACACGGTGTAAGTGTCTTGTAACCCAAAAACACTGTTGATCTAAGGAATTCATAGCTCCAGGAAGAATTTTTTGTGTGTGAAGTCTGTGTTTGGCCAGTGGGAAAGCGGATTAGAGACTCCCTCTGCTCTCGCTGCGACTCAAAATTGAAAGGAGCTTGGGTCAACAGCAGATTTTTCCCTGTTTATTTGCTTTGCCACTGTTGAACGCAGATCTGAGGATAATGTGGGAATGAAAGGTGGCAAAGACAATGGGAATGTTTTGACAGGCTTCCAGAGGGATTTAGGGTGGTGCAGACCCGAACAGCTGATACCTCCACCAAATTGTTTAAAAATAAAAAAAAAGAGGTTTTTGTATACAAAATCTGTGCTTCCCACATTTTATATGGTTGATTAAGGATGATGCACATGAAAATAAGCAAGATCCAGGCAATAAAGCACATTTGGATTTCTTGGAAGTTTATGACACATTTCTTTCCCAAGTCTCATAAAAAAAACTAAATTGATGTGAGGTGAGAGGGAATGGCAAATCACCTCCCTTTCCCAAGTAACAAACCTGAACCTTCCCCACAAAAAAGCCAACAGGAGGAGGGAATAGCTGTTCCCTAACCACACCAGAAAGGAAACCAAACTGTGCTCATCAGCTGACATGTTCCAGCAGCGTTTAACACCAGGCTCTATTAACAGGCATCACAGGCAATTTGAAACAGCACAAAGCAAGAGACAATGTGACAATAAAGCAGCATTTTAATTAGCAGCAGTCCTTTCCCTGGCCCAAAAGGTTCCTTCTGTGCATTCATATTCCCAGAACAACAAAAGCCTTCTTGTATTTCATAAATCAAAAAAACTCATAAAACAAGGCCCTGCAATTGCACATTCCAGATAATGGTCCAGAAATAAATTAGGCAATAAATATCAAATAATATATCCCCATCAGCAGTGAAAATCTACTCTTTGGATAATCAGAAGGGAAGATGCCTTCCAGCAGCTTATGCCTGGTAACTCAAAACAGGTAAAACAATAGAGAGCTTTAATAAATCTTTTAACACCTTTTCTGCTGAAGAATATAGCAATTGTCCTGTGTAATAGCTTCCCTGAGCCCAGTATCCATCAGCCCTGATGCAGTTGGTGTCAAAACCAGGGAATCAGAACAAGAGCCACTTGTCAAAATCAGGCAGAGCTTTCCTCCCTTGCAGCTGGGTCTTGCTCAGAATTTGGTGGCAGCCATCACTTACAGCAAAACACGTTTTTGAAAAACTCAGGGCACTCATTTCACCCTGGCATCAAACTCCCTGACCCCCACAGACACTCACTGGCCACATGACAAAATTGATGGTGACTTCAGCAAAGCTATTTTGCTTTGCAGAGGTGGCAGCAGCTGGGGAAGGACTGTGAGAGGTCTGGACCTTGTGAAAGGTCTAATTCCTCCCCTCCCAAAAAAAGACATTTTTCATGTACTTTAGAGACTGATCCCAGAGACACTGTAATCTAAAGCAGAAAGCTTGAAGGCTTGATCTCCCTTCACTGAGGACACAGCAGAATCTACCCCTAAATATACCACGAGCACAGGAGAACAGGTGCTCAATCCTTGGGTTAAGGGTGCAGAAGCCTCTCAGAAAACCACAAAACCTTCATATTTTCATCCAAAAGCAGCAGCACAGGCCCGGAGGAGCAGCAGTGCCAGAAGCATCACTTCCCAGGAGCTCAGGAGTAACTCTTACCTTCCCGAAATCCCGCACATCGAAGAGGTCGAAGGGATCAAACAAATCGCTGTTCCTTAACCCAAATTTGTCGTGACACACCTTCAGGAAGGTTCGGATGTTCTTCAGACAGAGAAACTGGGGGAAAACAAAAGAGAAAAGGGGGGTAAAGTGTGAGCAGGACACAGGCACAAATTGCAACTGAGATTTACTGAGTTAAATTCACGTGCGAGACAAGTTAACAGGGACTTAGAAACTTGCACTGGAAAGCCAGGCACGAGTTTATTTGTTGTTGCTGAAGATGTCAGACTCAGGGTGCCCTGTGAGGGCTCCTGTGTTCTCAGCTGCACAGCAGAAACAAAACACCCTTTTGAAAAACAAATTTCTCACAAGGTAACATCGCAGAAGGGCTGGAGAACTCAAGCCAGGACACTTCCCTTTAAAGGCTGAAGAAAAAATATAAGTTACAGTTGATGTTCTACAGAAGGCCAGTGTTGAACTTTTAACCACTTCCAGCATGATTGCATCTGGTTCCCTACAGAAGGGGCACATGTTACATCCTGGGGAAGAGAAGGCTCTGAGGAGACCTTAAGAGCCCCTTCCAGTTCCTAAAGGGGCCAGAGAGGGACTCTGGACAAGGGGGAATGGCTTCACACTGCCAGGTGGCAGGGTTGGATAGGATATTGGGAAGAAAATCTTCCCTGTGAGGGTGAGGCTCTGGCACAGGTTGCCCAGAGAAGCTGTGGCTGCCCCATCCCTGGAAGTGTTCCAAGACAGATTGGACCTGGTCTAGTGGGGAAGGGTCCCTGCCCATAGCAGGGGCTGGAACTGGATGACCTATAACGTCCCTTCCAACTCCAACCATTCCCTGATTCTATGACTCTGCTACAACACTCCTTGTGTGTAGTGTTGTACATCCACACACATGCACACACACATCCCTAAAAAAGACTGGGACATTGAAAATCTGTTTTTTTGCTTTGGGGTATGAAACAACTGACAGTTTATTCGAGTACCATTTGCTCCCTGACCCTCACACCTCCCAGATGCTGAAGGCACCATAAACACCAACAGACCCACAAAAACACAAACCAGCCACATCCAGCCCATGCCAGTCCTGAGACTCAGCCATGGGAGCTGCTCCTGACCCCACCCAGATCCTGTCCCCAAGACCAGAGACTGTTTCCACAAAGCTTTGCTCATCTTTAACCTTGGCCCATTTGAAGAAGCAGAAGCCTCAGCCCTCCAGGGACCACCCTTGATTATTCAGGGAGGTCAACTGGCAGAGCAACGTTATCCTTCTCTTTCAAGAAAATCCTGTCTTTGACTACAGCAATAATTGGTTGTTTATTTGGGAGCATCAGGGATTCTGAGGTCTGGGGACTCCAGTCTCGCTCCAGTGGTGCTGCCTGGCAGCAGGGGCTAAGAGGAAAATAATAAAAATCTGCTTCATTTCTGCAGCTGCATCACCTCCATCCTTCATCAGGATGGGCTGACTGCTGAGCCAGCCAATTAACTTCCCTTCTTTCTGGAGCCTCATTACAAAATACCTTCAATTCATTGCTGTATTTTGAAGCAACTCTTTTTTTTTTCCCCCCCTCAGCAAATTCCTCACAAACACCTAACAAACATGTGAGAATCCCAAGTAAATCAATCCATTGAAGGGGTGAATCACCCCCACGTGATAAGCTGCCTTTGGGTGGGTTGGCTCAGCCTGGTTTTGTCACATGGCACCATCTCTGCTCCCCAAGCTGTCATCAAATACACTCCACATAAAGACATTGCTTGCAAACTTCACCCAGAGTTCAAAGCAAAATAAAAACAGCTTAATTTTCTTTTAATTAAACGAATCAAAGCAGAGTCTTTGGGGCCATCGTATCTCCACAGACACGACCAGAGTGCAGCTTGTTATCACCGCATTTGGGATTAGAGATGGGTTTTCCAGAGGTGGATTAGCAAGACCACCTCATTAACAACAGGCTGATTCACCTACACAAAGAAAGGAATAACCTTTTACCCTTCTCCCCCATGCCAGCCCCTCGACATGGGGCTGCTGAGTGACAGCAAAGCTCCCCCAGCACAGGGGGTGGCACAGGACAGTCCCATCACATCAGAGTTTTCTCATTAGACAAGCACGTGCCAGAGGCAGAAATTGAAAACAAATCTGGTTTTCTAGGGCATTCCTCTATCTCACATAAACACTGCAGTAAATATAAGTGTCTAGACAGAGGTTTTTTTCGGAATTGCTTTACAACCTCTCCTGCTGACGTGGGTTATTTCATAACTTTATCTTCTGGGCCTCTGCAAGAATTTACACCCCAGGCAAACCGGCTGCTTGCGGCACGGCCGTGTGTGCTGCTGCACTGCAGTCTCATTGATTTCAAATTTCTAGGCATGTGTTTATTTTAAATCCTTTTAAGCCTCCAATTTTGAAAGTTAATGACACAGGTTATAGCCACAATTGCACACAGCAAGATGCAAACTTCCTTTGCAGAACCGCCCTGCCCTTCTGCAGCATTCCCTCCTCGTCTCCCGCTCATCCCAGGCTGGGCAGCACCAAAACACAGACTTGTGGAATGACAGGATGGTTTGGGTTGGAAGGGACATTAAGGATCATCCACTTCCACCCCCCTGCCATAGGCAAGGACACCTTCCACCATCCCAGGTTGCTCCAAGCCGCATCCAACCTGGCCTTGGACACTTCCAAGGATAGGGCAGCCACAGCTTCTCTGGGCAACCTGTGCTGGTGAAGGAACTGAAGGCCAAAGCTGATTTTGCTCATCCAATTCAGCTCTGGAAACCACCTCATCACCAGCTGCTAAATGAGTACAGTGTGCCTGCTGCAGCACCAGTGCCCTCCTGCAGCCCCAGGTGACATCCAAGAGCCACCACACAGCCAGCCAGGCGCTGAGTGTGGGCAGGGGACAAGCATCGAGGAAGGAACCATCATCTATTTAAAGAGTTGTTGAAAAAGGCCTGATGTAAAACACAATAAACCAAGGCAAGAAACCACAGTCCCCCCTCCACGAGCAAGGAGCTGGCAACAGAGCAAGGCCACCACACTGATCACAACAAAAGCCTCCACTCAGAATGACAACTGCAGGTGGGTTTCAACCCCACCCGAAGTTCAGGTGGGTACACTCAGCGTGGGTGTTGGTGGCACAATTTCTTGCACTATTTCTCCCTCGCCAATCTGCAAAGTGTTATATCACACCTTTTTTTTTTTTTTTTGGCATTTCGAGGTCAGTTTGCTGTTGATGGAGGATCAGGAATTCTTGGCTCGATACTGTTACTCAACGGCCACATGTTAAAATTAGCCACAATTTAATATGGGCTGTGCCCAGGCCATTTTATTCACCAGTCAATCACACCTTTGGACAAGTAGACATCTTGCAGGAGAAAAAGAGAGAGAGAGAAATCAATGTTCTCCGTGGGGCTCATTCAGCACCTGTCAGGCCCAAAAATCAATGCTGTCATTTATACACTTCGAGCGAGACTGTCACTGAGGCAGGATCCCTCGGTGCAAGGGACATCCCAGCCCTGCCATAACCCTCCTCCACATCCAAAACAGCCTTGGAACCCACCAGCCGTGGCTTCTGGGGACTGACACCACCAGCAATCACGATGCTCATAGAAACAGACCCGAGACTATGGCAACTTCCATGGATACCAGCACCTCCCACTGAAGTGCCAGCCAGGCTCCAAAAGCAGCCATGGCACAGGTCCTTGGCACAGGCAGAGCATCCTGGGCACTGCAAAGCCCAGAGAGGGAAGTTATCCAAGCCAGAGCAAGGAGGCAATGGGGGCAGGGATGGGACTACCACACACAACAAGAAACCCACCTGGTTAAACAAAATACCTTGAAGGCTGACAAGAGATGAGAAAAGTGTGGTCAGTTCTGACCCAATCCTCGGAGGGTTTTAAAAAAACAGCATTAGAGAGAGGCAGTAGTGGAGGCAGAAGGGGCCCATCACCTGCACTCACTCAGTTTCAGAACAGATTCACTTATTTTTAACCACCCTGCAATGTCATGAAGTGAATAAACTGCTAAAAACTGCTCTCAGCCACTGGTCCCACTGGGACCCTCCTCCTGTACACGGGGAGGCCAACAACCCCAATGCCTGGGACACACTGGGAGCTTCTCAGCAGCTTCTGGGATGTCCTTTTTTAAAGAGGCTTTTTATGATCCTATTTCTTTTACTGGATTCAGTAAGTTTAGAGATACACAAAGGGTCTTGCTGCCGAGTTTTCATGCCACTCAAACTTGTCCTGCAAACTCAGAAATGGAGATGCCTTCAGTGGAGATCAAAAAAGGGGTAGTTGGGTATCTGAGATTACTCCAGATACTCCAGCACTCGGAATAAATCCACTTTGCACACCAGGAGCTTAGCGGGGACATGCCCAGCCATCCCACAGCAGCTGGGCATCCCAAAGCTCTGCTGCTGCACCCCAGGGCAGGAAGGGCAGGTCAGATGTTTCTGTAGATGGAAACTCCAGCTCTGGGGGTGGGAGGGGAGCCCAGGGGAGGGTGCAGGGCAGCTCAGCACCTCGCTCCTCCCCACGCCCCTGCGTTAGCCACCACCCCTCCCTGCGGTCCCCGTATGACTGGGCACCCCTGGCACCTGCACTGACTAGACAGCAGCCATTTCCAATGCAAATTCACCAGAAAAGAGCCACCTACTCGAGCACCTGGGGTTGGGTTGGAAACAGTCCCCTCTCAGCCTCAGCAGAGATGATGGCAGGCTTGAAGGCCACATGTGCTCTTGACTCCCACCAAAGGGGTTTTGTTAAAGGAAAAACAGAATCATTTAGGTTGGAAAAGACCTCCAAGATCGAGTCACACCTTTAACTCAGCACTTCCAAGCCCAACACTAAACCATGTCCCTTAAGTGCCACATCTACACCACCTTAAATCCCACCAGGGATGGGGACTCCACTTTCCTGAGCAGCCTGTTGATGGCAGAGAGACAGACTAAAAGCTGGAAGAATGCAGCAGCATTTGCTCAACAACCAAGCTGGGATCCCAGGTGGGATCTGGAGGAGATTCACATGAGCAGAGAAGTCCCTGCTCCCTGCAGCTGGGATGGCACAAGGGAGGGAGGTGCAAGGCTTGGGAGTCTCCAAAGAGACGTTTTAAC